CAACGACGGATTTCAGTATTAGGAGTCACATGGCTCTCCACGCGTATTACGAATGACGCTAGAGACTACAGTTGTCCAGCTGTGTAGTGGTTTAATGTGCTATAACTTCAATAATTTTTTTCTCAGAAACTGTAAGGATTTTACAATTTTTTTTTACAATATTGACTCCATTTCTCATGCCGCATCTATTCCCAATTTTTTTTGGAAAAGTTGTGAATCACTGTATACTACATCCAAACAGGGTTTGCTCTCAAAACTCTTAACAATATCAATGACTTTCCAAGGGGACACTTCAGAAAAGGAAAAACTATTCACTGGACGGAGTAATCGGTGGAAGCTATTTAAATCGGCAATATTGATAAAGTAGTTATTAAACTGCTCGGATGTCAAATTACTTAAATTATTTGAGTAACTCATTTTAGTATTATTAACTAAATTCCAAATTGCTTTTTGGGAATTTGTATGCGTTTTTATAAAATTATCGTTAGCCATTTTCTTAGCTTTAAAAGTTTCAAACCGGCAGCGAGATCTAAATAATTTAAGATTAGAATTATTATAATCTGATGGATTTCTTTTACAAATTTCTGCAAGAAACTGTAGTTGCTGCCTCATTTGTCGAAGAGTAGCATTAAACCCAGTGGCGGCGCGTGAACATTGATTGAATGTGTTCTGCTTAGAGTTGTTACATTTGTTGAATTGAATTCCGGGATATTAAGTACCCGGTGTGTGTAAATGGCGCCGCAGGCGACAAATTTTAAAATTTTCAAGGTCACGCGCTTTCCTGGCACTTCTGAATTTCAAGGAACAATGCATTTATAAAAAACACAGATTTTCACAAGAATGATTTTTGAAATTGATACCTTTTTGAAATATCTATTCACGAATTACCTACTGACGGTATAAATAAATTGGAATAAACTAAATAGATTTTATAAAATTATTGAATATTGTTTATAAACAAAAAAATCGTTTGTAAAATTTACCAACGATTCAACGAATTTAAATTTTCCTCGCCGTGTTATGATTTTTTCTTTTATCTTTTTTTATATATATGTACATTATATTATATTCCGGGAGTTATACGTCCAAATCCGAAATCCGGGTCCATACAGCTAATTCCCGGTACAATCACAGAAAATCTCGGTCATACCCATGTGGCTAGATATTCTTTTAATATGTCGTCAAGATATTCACTAAAATTTATGAGTCCACGAAATACATCAGGGTTGTCCGAATTTTCTGTCTCGTCGTGTCCCCGAAGTGCTAATTCGAAAGGTCCGCAAAATTTTATGCAATCTATGATTTTAGATAATACATAACGATTTTTCGTTACCTGTTCATTGTGTTTCCGTATATTATCCCAATATGCAGAATCTAACTGACTTCTTATGTTTATTTTACCTAAAGACTTAATGACTTAAATCTTTCACACTGTATATTGTCCATGCTTTATCCCCACCGAAAAGTAAGCACGGAAAACAAAACAGTG